GGAAGGAGTCGCTTACTGAGCCCCGGTGCTGCACTGGACCTGGACTCTGTGCTGCAAACACAAGGACAGAGGACACCATCTCTGCCTGTGGCAGACAGACAAGCAAATAGACGGTGGCCAGAGCGGACAAGCTGTGGTAGAGCAGAAGAGAGCACAGGGACCCTGGGAGCCCATCGGGATGGAGGGGACCTGATTTAGCCTCTGTGGATCAAGGTAGTCTTCCTGGAGGCAGTGACATTAAAGCTCAGTCTGGAAGGATGAGAAGGAACAAACCAGGAAGACTAGGTCAGGGCAAGATGTTCCAGGAAGACGGACTGGCATGTGCAAAGGTCAAAGGCCATATGGGTGTGGTAACTACAAATGCTAGGGATTGCTAATGCTGTGTGATTTGGAGCAAGTCACTGAACCTCTCTGTGCCTCAGTGTCCTCAACTTTGAAATGATGGTAGTAGAATAAATGAATTAATAATTGTAAAGGACTTGGAATAGGGCAGCACTTTGAGAGTTAGCTACTGTCATTATCACCAAAACTATTACCTGAGTACAAAGTATAAGAAAGGTCTAGAAGAGAGGGGGCTGGGCAGCTGGGCTGGGACCAGGCTGAATTCTCAGACTTTATCTTCCAGGCCTCAGGGAGCCAAGGCAGAATTTGAAACAGGGAGTGGCAAGACTGAATGTCTGCTTTAGGAATGGCTACTGGGAGAAAGGGCTCTGGGCAGGGAGACATCAATCATGATGCAGTTGTAGGGTCCTGAGCCACTTCCCATCACAAAGGGTTCAAAGAGCGGGTGATGTTTGTTCTGAAAGAGTTGACCCTGTTTTGAGGGCAGGGACGAGAGGACATAGAGACAGACTGAGGAATGAGAGCAGGCTTACATCAACACAAGGCTGTCCTGTTTAAGAAGGTTTAGGAGTTTCAGGCCAAGGACGGCACATGCAAAATTGTGCCATCACATCTCACCTCACCTTGGGAAGAATTTGCATTAGTCAGAACTTCCCAGAGACTGGAGGGCAGCCTTAAAGGGTAATGAGCTCCCCATGCAGGGAGGTACGCAAGCAGATTGTGGATGAGCATTTGAGGGGGAGGCTGTAAAGGAAGCATAAACATCAGGCAGGTTGATCTACATAATTTCTAAGATTTCCTCCAACCTTAATTTCTGTCATTCTACTGAACCTCTGAGAGATGGTATATTAGCTTCCTATTGCTGCTGTTAACAAATCGCCATAAACTGAGTGGCTCAAAGCAACATGAATTTAGGATCTTACAGTTCTGGGGATCAGAAGCCAGCATGGGTCTCACTGGGTCAACCAGGTGTTGGCAGAGCTGCATTCCTTTTTGGAGGCTCTAGGGGAGAATCTTCCTTTGCATTTTCAGCTTCTAGAGTCCTCTTGCATTCCTTGGTTTGTGGCCTCATTCTCCATCCTCAAAGCCAGCAACATGGCATCTTGCAATCTCTCTCTCTCTCTCTCTCTCTCTCTCTCTCTCTCTCTCTCTCTCTTTCTCTCTCTCTCTCTCTCTCTTTCACATGCACTCACGTGCACCCCTTTATGTTTACCCACTGCATGCCTCAACTCTCAGGTCTCACCTGAGATGCAGTGGCTGCCAGAGACAGGTTTTTGGTTTTGGAAACACCAGAGCTTTGCCATCATACCACCTACCCAGTGTGTTAATTGCACTCATGCTCCCCTGTGAGGACAGCAACATCATCTCTATTGTCCACTGTTTAATCACCCATCTCAGTGCCTGGCACACTATAGACCCTCAAAAAATAGATAGATATGTGTCTGGCAAGTGAATGAAGAATCTGTCCAGAGACAATGGCTGATGTGTAGCTGAGAGATATCCACCCACTCGTTAGCTCTGACTGCTCGGCTCTCCTAGTGTAACAAGGTACCGCGCCATGATGGGGTCCATGCCTGGTCTAAGACACTAAAGGGGCCAGGAGAGACCTTTGAGGGAAGACAAAGCCTTACTTAATTTGTGGGAAAATTCATGCCAGGATTTTTGGAGCAGCCAGCTGATAAATAAGCCACTGGAGGGGCCAGAGAAGGGGCTGCAGAGCGGGGTGGGAGGTACAGGAGACCTTTGAGAACAGAACACGTGTGAGTGCAGGGCTCTGCCGGCAGCTCCCCAGGCCCGCCTTTGTCCAGCATGCCGGAAGCCGATGCGTGCTGTGCTATGTGGGTTTCCAGATGGGCTTGTGCCTTCATCTCTGAGTAACAAGAGAAGCCAACAAGTCAATTCAGCCATGCCTTACTGGTCACTCACCCCGCCTGGCTGGGCAGTGGGTGCTAACAAACCGAGACGAAGACCACCAGCCCTCTGTCCTAGGCACAGTCTGTGAAGGAGACAGATGGCAGGTGGTTCAGTCGATGTCACGTGCTCAGGACTCAGGCAAAGCTGGCGAGGACCAGCGTGCACACGGAGTTCCCAGGATGGACATTGCACGTCGCGGGCTCAGCACAGGATGTCCTTCCTCATCTTCGTCTGCCCAGGGAGTCCACACGAGGCATCTTCTCCTCTGCGGAGCTCCCTGGTATCCTGCTCCCTGCTCTCCCGAGCTACAGGTGCTGCTTCCTTTGGGTCTGGTTGCCTGCACTGCAGTCGGGTTCCTTGTCTTCTCCCCACTGGACTGCGACTCCTTGGGGCCCCAACATCCACCATGTCTCACTTGGTACCAGTGACCACTGATGGCTACAGACACTCACTCATTGATTCTGCGAACAGGCGCCACGAACCCTCAACATGAAGATCCGTAAGCTTCCTTGCAGGCTCTGATCTCATCTGATTTACCCAGGAACTGCATACCGTGTCCTGGGTGGAACAAGGTCAAATGTCCCAGCAACACATCGATCGCAACTTCAGACAGGCAGACAGACAACTCCTGTTTTCCAGCACGGCGATGTCTCCTTGATCCAAATGGTGCAAGGACTTGTGTGGCACATGGACTTGTTTTTCTTTCCTATCCTGGATCTGAAGCCCATTTGATGAACACATCCAGGAGCCCTAGAGCATTTCAACGCAGACCTGGAGTTCCTGGCTGAGGCCAGCTCGTCTGCCAGGGGTGCCCATGCGTCCAGCACCAGGGAGGGAGTGCAGACTCTTTCATCAAGAAGAAAAACATATCTGTGCTTCTGCTTGCTACCTCCAAGCACACAGAGTTCTGCCCTTCCTGTGAGGTTCCTGACACACAGTCCCCAGGTCGTCTTGCTAAGGTGTTTAGAGAACACACTCTTACCTACAAAACAGGAAGGCGCAGGCTGGGGTCCCTTCCCAGGGTTTTTAACACCAGAAACTAGATAAATAAAATTCAGGACTGGAAGGGACCTCAGACATTGCCCAGGGTGATGCTACCCTGTTCACAGACAGGGAATGGGCGCCAGGGTTGGGAAGGAATTTCTTGTGGTAAATACAGTGGGGACAGGCTGGAGCCGGATTTCAGGCTGTGGTTGATCCTCAGTCCTGCCCACGTCCAGGACACCATGCTTGGGTTCACTCTTCCCTGCAGACTTCGTCTTTGGTTGTTTTGTTCCAGAAACATGCAGCTTGCCTGGGCCCCTCCATTGCCCTCCTGTAGCAGGAGATAAGGACACAGGCAGGTCCAGACACAGGGTAGAGCTCCGATGCCCTCCCCAGCTTCATATCCCCAGAGACTCAGTTTCCTCACCTGGAAAATGGAAATAACCCCATTTCCTTCATTGGCTGTGAGGCTCGTGGCATTTGTAATGGTGGCTGGCCTGGTGGCTGCTGGTGTATGAGTAATGCTCAGTGTTAAAGAAGAATCTTCCCCTCTGACAGCTCCTCCTCCTGCTTGTTCCCTGATCTTGGGCAGCTCAAGTACCCAAGCTCATCCCTGATGGCAAGAGTCCCGCTCCCCACCCATTCCACACGGTGGGTGGATGGACGGAAGGAGGACAGGGTACGAAGTCCATCTGGACCCGAGCGCCTCCAGCTTGGTGACCTCCGGCAAGTTGCTGGAACTCTCTGAGCCTCAGTCTTCCCACCTGGGAAATGGGGCTGTTTTCTGTGGCACCTACCTCTCAGGGACACTTGCAGGTTTTAACAGGGACAGTAATATTAGCTCAGACTGCTTGGAAAGTCACGATGTGCCTGGCATGAGCTTTGCTCGGTCATGCAGTGTCTCACTGAGTGCTCATCGTGGTGTTCTGACTTAGTGCTCTTATCCCCATTTCACGTGGAAGCAGGGTCAGGAAACACTTAAACTCGCCCATGGTCAAAACCAGAATGAGTGGCCTTGCTTTGCCCCCAGCGCATCCAAGTGGAGAGCCTATCCCTTGACCTCGTGCTGTCTCAGGAGGGCAGCCCCGAAAGAGATGCGCATGCGCACGCGGGGAAACAACCCTTCCTGAGGGTCCACTCTGCGGAGCATGCTGCATCTCCAGGCGGAAGAGCTGGGTGGACGCTCACAAGACCCCAGGGCTGCAGCTGAGTCCTGTCCTCCAGCCTGAGAGACATACAGGGGCTCAGAGGGCGAGTGACTGCCCTGCCAAGGCTCCCCTTCCCGGGTTGTGGCTGATGGACGCTGGCTCAGGCTGCGTGGCCCCAGCCCAGCATCACTGCTCCCCCTGGGCTCCCCCCCGGGGATGGTGCTCAGCCCCACGTCTGTTCCCTTTCTCCGAGATCCAGATCGGCAGGCAACAGCCCGCATTCCCTCTGGGGCCTGCCCGCCCACACCTCTCCTGCAGCTCTGCCTTCCCCGTGTGCTCCCACCCGCTCCACTTCAGGAAAAGTCCCTGCGAGACAAATGCTGCTCAAGGAAAGTGCGGGGGCGGCAGGGTCACCCGCTCCCCTCCCGAGGCGCCCCTCCTCTCCACAGGGTGGGCCTGGATAGAGTGCCTGGCCCGGGTGGCGCTGGCATCCCCTCTCCCGCCGCCCCGCTGCACCCGGCTGGGCCCCACAGGAAACGGGGCGTGGAGCCGCCGGGACCACCCCCAGCCGCCGTTTAAAGGGGCGCGGCGGGGCTGCGCGGCGCCTGCACCATGAGGACCGCCTGGCTGCTGCCCCTGCTGCTGCTGCTGCTGGCCGGGCCCCCTGCGCGGCCCGCGCCCCCGACCTGCTACTCCAGGATGCTGTCCCTGAGCCGGGAAGTCACTGGCGACTTCCAGAGCCTGCAGGCAGCGGAGCCTGGGGTAAGTGCCCCACCCGCCTGGACGCGGGGTGCAAGGCAGGCCCAGTTCTCAAAAACCTGCCTTGAGAACCAGAAAAAAAGAAGGAAAAAAGGGGTTTTCCTTTCTAGTAAATGTTAATGTCAAGGGAATTTGTGTCTTATTCGCCTCCTGTTAAATACGATACCAATGGTTTGCTTTCTTTTTAAATATAAGGAAAAGTAATCAAAGACATCACAATTTGTGTAACTTGCTAGCAAATATCAGCGGATATAGTGTGAAATGTAAAAAAAGCAAACGGAAAATAACAGCTTTCCCCAGAGTCTAGAACTTCAGAGTTAAGGAGGACCAAAGAATTAAGCTTATTTATTTCCCTTATTAGCCTTCATCAGCCTGGTGATGAGGAGTATTCTCTAAGAGGGTGGCTCAGGGAACTGGCCTCCACCCCTCACCAGCAAATTCCTCTGTATCTCAGCTTCCTTATCTGTAAACCGGGATGACAGTAGCACCCTCTTCCCATAGGGTGGCTTTGAGGATCAAAGGCCTGAGTACAGACAGGTACAGCCGCAGAGCCGCCTACACTGGGGGATTCTGCAGATGCTACTGCTGTCAGCACTGTTGTGAGAGGGAGGCCCAGGGACTCCGGGAAGCTGCAGAGGGGCCATCCCAGATGCCAGAGAGATTCTCTGACTGCTTATCTGTAGAAACAAAATGCAGTAAACATCAGGCAAAGCTTTAAAAGTGTCTCTTAACCACTTGCAAATTCTCCAAAGAAAACAATGTTTCTCAGATATTAGAGTTTACAGTATCCTAACACCTTCTTTATATTTGCTTTTTAAAGGTTAAATAACATGTTTTCTTTCTAATTATAAAAGTAATTACTTTGTAGAATGGTTGGAAAACATATAGAGGACAAAGAAGAAAGTAAATATTGCTTGTAATTCTACCACCTAGAGGTAACTGTTGCTAAAACATTCTGTAAGATAGTATGTTAGCTTTCTGTCTACACATAGATATTCAAGTACATACATGTGTGTGTGTGTGTGTGTGTGTGTAAGCAAAATTTGGATCAGACAGCACAGTTTTGCAACTTACTTTTTAATGACATCTTTAAATGACATTCTTTTTAACAACATTTTGTTATATAGTTGCACCACAAGTTATCACATATATATGCATTAAAGTATGCATATATAAGCACTTTTATATTGCCATTAATATATTGTATACTATATATTACCATACCTATATTACAATTATAGAACTGCTAATAACTAATATATATAATTACACATAATATATACTTATTTACATATAATTATATGTAATATCCATAACTATATAGAGTTATAGAACTAGTTATGGAACTGTTTTATATATGTGCATATATACTGTATATATACACTTTTATATTACTATTTCTATATTACAATTATAGAACTTTAATGTGTATATATATATGTATATGTTTGTGTGTGTGTGTGTGTATAAAACAATTCCCTAATTCATAGTAAGTAGCATAAAGGTGCGATCGAAAAGTCGAATTTGGGAATAGCAGTTGCTCATTTCTGGTGGAATGTGACACCGGGCACGCGAACGGACTGTGCATATCTTAGCATCAAGAAAGGCCCCAGGAATCCGGGCTGGTCCGGCTGTCGGAACGGCCGGCAGGGAGCCCTCTGTGTCCAAGTGTGTCCCTACAGGCATCCCAACAGCCCGTATCCCTTTCCACAGGATCCGTGTGTGAGACACCTGCCCAGGCTGTACCTGGATATACACGTAAGAGGGCTGTGCCTGCCAGGGGTGGGGATGGGGGTGCATGGCACGGGGGTGGGAGAGACCCCATGCAGCCCAGCTACCGACTTCTCCCATGAGCGCCCTCCCCATTGCCCACTCCCAGAATTACTGTGTGCTGGCCAAGCTGCGGGACTTTGTGGCCTCACCCCAGTGCTGGAGAATGGCCCAGGTCGATGCCTTGAAGGACAAAGTGCGGAAGCTGTACACCATCATGAACTTGTACTGCAGGAGGGTAAGTAGACACCGTTGAGATTCCTTTTCTACTTGCTATCAGCGGAGACTTTCTGAGCTCTTCAAAGAGGAGGGTTGGGAGGAGAGAGGAAGAAGGAAGAGGAGCAGAAATGTTGAGGGGTGCTTCCAGTTCACAAAGCCCTTCCCAGCCACGGTGGCCTTGTCAAAAGACGGGGTTTGGGACAAGGCTCCGTGCCCCACGAGCTGCACACCGATGCTGGGGCTAGGCCCCGGACTACGGACGACACCCCAGCCCCACAGACAGAGTGTGCCGGGAGCCAGCTGGGGCAGGTTGGAAGAGATGCTCTGAAGGGGCGGGGGTGGGGGGCGGTGTCCTCTGTGACTGGATTCTGCTGCGAGAGGGGGAAGGGCCGAGATCAGCAGCCGTTGAGATGTGGAAAGGAGAGCTCTGTGATCCTGGGGCACAACTTCAGCATCAGACAGCCCTGAGCTTGCGCCTTTGTCTCCCTGCTTCCCAGATGGGAACACCCGTCTTAGTCTGTTTTCTGCTGCTGTAACACAATACCACAGACTGGGTAATTTATTTAAAAGAAGAAGAAGAAGTTGTTTATTTAACTCATGGCTCTGGAGGCTGGGAAGCCTGAGCTGGCACCAGCGTCTGGTGAGAGCCACCTTGCTGCGTCATAACATGGCACAGGCATCACACGGGGAGGGGCAAGAGCAAGAGAGCCAGAGAGCACGGCTTTATGCCACCGCCACCCCCGCAGTGAGAGCCACTCGAGCGAGCGCTAGCGACATTAATCCACTCATAGCAGCAGAGACCTCAGTAATCCATCAATCCGGTCACTGAGGCAGATCCCACACTCATTCGTGAAGGCAGAGGGATTGAGTCTGCAACACGTGAACGGTTGGGGGACGTATCCAAGCCATAGCAGTGCCCTTTCACTCCTCTGTGGCAGTTTCCATACTCCTGAACAGGGGACATAGTGGTGCCTGTCTCATGAGATCACTGGAGAATTATGATAATGATTACACTGTACTACTGCCTTGATCCTAAGAAGCCTAGCAGGGTGACTAAATATACATTCCTAGCACCATGCCTGGCTCAGGGTAAGTCCCTCCAGAAACTGTAATAATTAGATATTAAGTTATAATTTATTTGTTCAGGTAGCAAACTTTGCTATACATTTCCTCCCAATGCCCAGTCTCTGCTCCTGCCCCCTCCCCCTTGGTCTGTGGGGGAGAGAGAGGAAGCTACTAGAGTTTCGGTACAGTCTGGTGCGTTGAGTCTGGGGTGCGTGAAGGTGACAGCTGGCGCTGCTGTCCACGGTGTTCCCAATGCCCGGCCCAGAGATGCTGCTGAGCAGTGAAGGCTCCTTCATTCATTCACTTCTTTACCCGTTTGTCTGTCTGTCCATCTGGTCAGCCAATGCATGAGTGGATCCAGTAAATAACACCACTAATAAAACATGAGATCCTATGGGAATGTGAAGAAAAAAGTGACCCACTGCCCTTGGGAGAGTAAGGGATGGAAGGTCTTCACACAAAGGGGAACAATCGGATGGCCCTTGAGGATAACCAAGAGTCCTGTGGTTGCATATGGGCGCCACGGCCGCCTTCGGTAACTTCCCTGCTCATTGCATGTCTTTCCCAGGACTTGGTATTCCTGTCAGATGACTGCAGTGCCTTGGAATACCCAATCCCGGTGACCACGGCCCTGTCAGATCATCAGAGCTAAGGCCACCAGACCAGAGAAGGACAAGAGGATAAGTCCCATCAGCTGCCCAGACTCAATGAGCTGAAGGCCTCCACCCCCATTTCTGTGTTGCTGTAGCGTCTGACACTCTCACGCGTCTGTCCGCCTCCTGGAACGCAGGGCTGGGCCCTAGCCAGGACGCCCCTGCCAGCGTGCAGTCGGAAGCCTCGCTCCTCGGTCCCTCTCGCGAGATGTCTTGCGGAATGGCTGGATACGAAGCATGTCAGCTTAGTCACTAAAAAGAAAAGGGCTAACCAGCTTCTCTTTTATAAACAGCTAGCTTGAGAACAAACAGAATAGTGTGTTTTTATTACTAGTTTAATCAAGTAATGGTACCATTTTTCTTTCTTGATAAGAACCTGCTTACCCTTGACTAAGCTTCTAATATCCCTTCTCCCAACAAACTTTCCTCACTTCCTTCCATTTAAAAAAAAAAATTACTGCTTTTAAGATATAATTGCAAGGTTTATATGTAGTGCTGACAGGAGCCACTCTGTCACTGAACAGTGATGAAAATCAAATAAAGAATATCTTCATAGCAAGAACATGTGTCCTGTTGTATCCGTCTCACACAGATGTGGGGGGGCGGTTATTTCACACTTCTGAAAGCTTCTGCTCTAAGCGTGACACATCTTTCTCCTGTCTGTCAAGCTCAGGTGTCTCTGGGTCCACTTCATCCACCTGCGTGAAGGTGTGCTCTTCAAGGGTTGGAGGTGCTCTGATCCATGCTGGGGGCAGAGTGCCTTTGGGGAATAGATGCTGGGAACAGATTGCACCACACTCGCAGGCAGCGCCTTGCCCTGCCCTTATCACGCATGTCTGTTCATTGACGCCACGCTGCAAACCCAAGATGGGCATCCTAGGAGGCTCGGGCTCACACACGTTAGGTAACTTGCCTGCAGCTGCTGGGGTGAAAAAGCCCGGATTGAACCCAAGCCTGTGTCACTCCAAAGCCCACCCTGTTCCCAGTGCACCCACGCTGGTGAAACATGCTTGTTTAATTAATTGATGATCTCAACAATAAAATTTCAGTTAAGTAACTGCATCATTGAAAAATATCTCACGTGTTGATTTTGCTACATTCCACATGTTATGTTGGGGTCCTTTTTGTTGCTTTTCCTTCGTTCTGCACAAACAACCAGACCTTTCCCCCTTGATCTTAGATGCCTCTGACTTCTCAGATGATTCATGAGAATGTTTTATTGAGTTTTTATTTTCTATTTAGAAGCGCAGGTCCACAGAATCACTGTATTAGCTTCGCTGTAACAAGGTACCACAAACTGAGGGGGCTTGAGAGAAGAGAAATGTATTGTCTCACAGTTCCAGAGGCCAGAAGTTATGACATCAAGGCATGAGCAGGGCCGTGCTCCCTCTGAAGGCTTTGGGACGGGATTCTTCCTTCTCTCTTCCCAGCCTCTGGTGTTGGCCACCACCCTTGGTGTCCCCCTGCTTTTAGACGCACTGCTAAGTTCACAGAAATTGTTCTGCCCCCATCAATATACGGTGTTTTCCATGTGTCTGTGTCCAAAATTTTCTCTTCTTATAAGGACACCAATTACTGGATTAGGGGCCCTCTTCTAACCTAATATGATCTCATCCTAATTTGATACCATCCTCAAAAATCCTCTCCAAACACAGTCACATTCACAGGTACAAAGTGTTACAACTCAACATATCTTTTTGGGGGACACAATTTAACCCACAACAATTACTTTTTAAAGAAATAGTCCCTTCTCAGAGGAAAACTATGCAACAGACTGTCTTTTTTTACCACACTCACCATCTACCACCTCCTGGCAGATACTAAATGTGGAGGCCTGGTGCCCGGCACACGCACACGCTAGCCCGTGACCCTCACGACGACGCTGTGGGATGGGAGTTAGCAACCCTGATTCACAGTGGAGGAAACACTCCAGCTCAAAGGTTAAGTGACGTCCCCAGACAGCTAATAAGTGGTGCCAAAGGGATTCCAGACAAAGGGACGAGGGCCAGAGTCATGTCATGGCTCTGCTAATCCTTTGCTATTTCTAGGAGGTAGAAGCAAACCAGTGAAGACAAGGACTCATTTAGGTATTGTGGACATTTATTTGTTCATTTCTTCAATATTTATGAACTTACTATGAACTCAATACAGAGATGAAAAGTGAAGAATTTCTCCTCTTAGGTTACCAAGGGAGACACTGCAAAATCTAGGAGATAGCAGAAGAAGGAGAAAATGATTCTGAGACTGGGGCAGAAAGATTTCTTAGAGGAATGGAATTCGAACAAGGACTTACAATGTGGCTGGAAAGGTGACGAGCTGAAAGCAGTGGGGGCAGAGGACGTGGCCCAGCCAAGGGCGTGGAGACGTCTAGTGGGGGCGAACAGCCCGACACTGGTGTCTGGCGGGGGGTCAGGAGGCGGAGCTGCAAACGTGGGATCAGAACTAAATGACTTTGATTATGTGAAGCCAGTGGAATGTCCCTATCCTGTTACTAGCTGCACGACCAGGGCCACACAGAGGAGAGTTCCTTTCTAGGTAGAAAGATTGGAGCCGAATGGTTGGAAGCTGTCAGTTCCTCCGGGGGTCTCCTTGCTTTGCTCTACAAAAATAACAAGATGAGGACCCGCTGCTCCCTCTGCAGACCAGCCCATTGGCAAGCCGGGCATTTGAGCACCACCTGGACTCCTGCTCTGGCTTCCTCTGTAGCGAACTGGTCAACCTGTCTTCTCCATATCTCTCCACTCCTCATTGACTCTTTTCTGCCTCGACGTTAGTTCACAATGTGAACCAAAAATAAAATCCTAAGCCCTCTGGTAACTGAATGGCCCCCTCTCGGCCAAGAGGACATCATTTTAGGCCTTCGGACTCGTACTAGAACCGCACCTTCAGCTCCCCGGGTCTCCGGCTTAAGGACGGCAGACGGTGGGACAACTCAGCCTCCATCGTCTCAGCTCCACGAGCCAATTCCTTGTAGCACCCCCCATACACACGCACGCACAAAGTATTGCTTGTGTCTCACTAGAGACCCCTGACTTACGAGGTGAGCCTGCGCCCTGCTCTCTGCCCCATTGCTGGTATACCAATTAAGGACCCACGAGACCTTGCCCGGACCCTGCAGCTGCCCCTTACTGGGCTCTGGCCTTCACTCTGGCCCCTTTGCCCCCAGTCTCCATACAGCAAGCAGCCAGAATAATCTCTCTTGTTTCATCAATTAGATCATGTTCTTCCCTATTGAAAGACTTTCTACGGCTTCCCACTTCGAATGAAATTTGAGCTTCTCACCTTGGCCTATGAAGTCCTCATTTACCACCACTGTTCATCTCATAAAGCATCCGCTACCACTGAAGTGTTGGGGCCTATGTTTAATGGCTTGCTTATTTGTTCATTTTCTGTCTCTCCCTCTAGACCGTATGCAATAGGAAGGCAGGAACCGTGTCGTTTTGTTTCACTGTTGTACTCCCAGCACTCAGCACCGTGCCTGACACCTAGTAGATGCTCATTAAGTTTATCTGGGACGTTTCTAGACGCTGGATACTGCTTACCAGGAGGATCAAGAAAAGTCACCAGTTCAGATCTTACAACTTCCAGGTGGCCCACGCCCCTTCTCTCCTCATGAAACACATGCTATTTGCACACACCAAAGCACACATAGCCTCAGAGGCCCAATTCATGTGTTTGAAGGAACTGCTGACTTTTGCTGGTTTGGTTAATTTCACTCTGTGCGCACACGCGCGCGCACACACACACACATGAATTCACATTTTGTGTGCATTCCGTCTCCCAGTGTTTGAGCTCTTCCATAAAGCACAGCTGTCTGGCTGTCTGGACGGTAGCCAGTAGCAGAGACCTGAACAAAGCCCTCATCTTCCCTTCCTGGGTACATCTAAAGTCTTAGTCATCAGTTCAGGCTGTCTAGGAGCTCTTCGACTGCTGAAATCAGCATTGCACCTTCACACCCAGGGGCAATTTAAACCAAGTGAGAATTATCAGGCAAAAGTCCCCACCATTCAAGCCTAGCTGATTTGCAAAAGTGCTAAAAATGCAAAATCAACTTCTGCATTTGCAGAATGTTCAGGTCTGTAGATTGTCAGATCAAGGACACACAGGATGGAGGAAGGGACTATCCTTGCATGAATTAAGAGTTAGAGGAGAAGAAACGAATAGAAAAATAGAGCAAAAATATGTGGAAAATGGTCGAGTTAGCAGTCATAACTTAGATTTAAGTTCCTTCATGGTGAAGGCATCCCAGAGATTATTTGGACACCGCATATACACTTCTAAAATGTTTGCAATCAAATTCCTGAAACATAGTTCTACTTATTTTTTCAATAGTTTTCTGGCTGCCCCACAAAGATAAGGACGTTGCTCCAGAATCATTGCTTCTTAATTCTCTTGGTCTTGATCCCGGTTCTGCAGTGTCAGCCCCGCTCCACATGTCCCCCACTCAGAAGGCGGGTTCAGGTTGTTGGCATTGTCTCGGCATTGGTTACCCTCCCTCCAGCCTGGGCAGTTGTGCACACTCTGTGTTTGGAAATCATTCAACGCTAGAGGGGAAGGGTCCGAAGTTGTGCTCTAACATTGTCCATTGATGCTTCGAGGTCCTCTTTATTTATTGATGATGACAACATCTTAAGTATGTGGAAAACTTTGCAATTTACACATCGTTTTTCCTTTTATTAACTTTAGTTCTTATGCTAAGTTGGAGAATGGGGGGATAGGATTGTTTATTTCTATTTGTAGATTTAAAAGTGAAGCTTCAATTAAATATCCTTTTATACTTACAAACATGCTTAAAGTTTTCAAATCTGACAATAGCAAATCTTGGTGAGGACACAAGGTAACCAGGACACTGACATCCTGCTAGTGGTGTGGCTACTTGGAAAAGAATTTGGCATTACCTGGTAAGTTTAAAGATGTGCATATCCTATGACCCAGCAAATTTTAACCCTAAAATATACCCTAGAGGAATTCTTTTACATACGCACCAGCAAGTATGTCT